AAAAGTGTTTATATAAGCGTACTTTGGTTATAAAAATGTCACATTATTTATATGGTATGAGATTAGCATTCATGATCATAGCTATCTGTAAGTTGTTATTGTTGAGGATCATGTTGAGATCCCTATTGGACTATATGTTCATCCCACGTTGCTAATCTTTTTCAAGTAAATATCAAGATGTGCTACAAGGTCATGGATCTTTCTGAATTGTTGGCCACGGGGCCTTTTTAAGTGTAGGTGAAATGCCATTGATGTAAAAGAGTTAAACCCTTCATCTTGATTTTTTTTATGATGTAAGCCTACGGGCACTTTATTTAGATCTGGACATGTTGCATTCATTTTTATATTCGAATGAAAGAATTCTTATTTATGTATTCCTTGTAAATATAATGAGCTTTTGTATGCTAACTCTGAAATGGAATGTATAATAATGGCTTGGTAATAGTAATCCGAGTAATAAAATGTGGGACGTGGCATGTTATTTGCATGGTCTTTTAAATAATGTAAATTTCTATGATTTCCTATGCAAAATTGTGTGTTTTGTGCGTTTTCATGATTATTGCTTGACTTAGTTCATGAGTATGGTCATATCCTTGAAAAATCTATTTTTGGTAGTAAAATCTTTATTATTGGAAAGGATGTGATTTTCTTCATAGAATCTAGGTGATATTCATTTTTCAAATCACATAGTTTTAGGATTAGCTAAGAACTTTTAGGCTTAAAAATGAATTTTGTGAATAATTAACTATTAAAATCATAAAATAGAAAATTAGTAGAAGTCAATCCCTAGGTTAAACAAAAGGATGTGCTATCATTCAATGACTTTTCCTTTTTATACTAAAGCTTCTGAAACCTAGAATTTTCTGATTGTGACGAATCTGTCATTAACTTAGTTTTCATTGTTAATTTTTGTTATTTGTTATTTTTTTAAAAAAAAATTAAGTGACGACTCTTTATTGTTTAGATAAGTTGATACAACAATTTATGTGGAAACAGGCCTTGGACTCTTAAAAAAAGCTCGTCGCTCACATTGTGTAATCAATTTTTTTTTGTTTTCACCCTAGGTTCACATTTGTGTTTGTTGTCATCATTATTAGGAGTATCAAATGGAGGCATCGACCAACACAAACTGAATTGTATTTGTATATATAGCTTCTTACATAAAACTTTGGATAAATTCCAAATACACTCCTTAAGTTTTATTTAAAATACAAATTGTTACATTCTGTCCCTTCAAATTTTTAATTTCATAATAAAAATATGATTTTATTAATAAATTATCAAGTCAATTAAAAAAATTATGAGGTCAAAAATTTATTCAATTAATGATTCATGTAATTTTCTTAATTTATATTAAAGCAGTTAGGAATTTTATTTTTTCAATTAATTCTGTTAAATAAAAAATTATAACGATGACATATTTGTAATTTTTGAAACTACATGGTCAATATATAATTTAAACAAATTTTAGAGACTGTATATATAATTTACCATAAAACTTTTTAGGTACTAACAAAAAGGTTTATTTTCTTTCAGGGATACGTAGAAAAATGTTTTCAAATTAATCATAAACTTCACAAATATTAAAAAGTAAAAATATTATTTTTTCATAATTTTGTAATTATGTAAAAGCCAAGCCAAACGACCTTTTTAATCCCAAGCTAAAAGTCCCAATTCAAAAAAGTTAACTAAAAAAACTATAGCCAACTTAAGTGTCAACTTAGGCTTCGTTTGGGAACAGACTATTTTAGTAATTTTTTAATTTTTTGGTTAAAATATAAAATATGAGATAAAAAAACCTAATATGTTTAGGATAAATTTTTGACTTTTTACGAAAAGATGTATAAAAAATAGAGAAAAAATAAAATATTTGATTTTTTAATATAAGTTATAAATTTTTTAATTTTTTTAATAATTTTTTAAATTTTAAACTAAAACAACTACTTGCCAAAGAAGATCTTGAGACCTCAAGTAATAGAGAACTGAGAATAAAATAGGGTCTCACTTATTATGGGTGTGTTTGGAGTGTTCGGATCCTTTGAGGAGGTTTTTCTCTGGGGTGATGGTGCAGTGCATAAAATGACGTCATTTCGTGCACTGCTGACCCAAAAAAAAATGAAAAATAAAAATAGAGCAAACGGTTTAACACTTAACGGGTTCTAGAGAGAGATAAGTGAACAAGAAGGGAAGAGAAGAGAAGCGGAAGGAGGGAAGATATCGGCGGCGACCATTGCGACACTCACGGAGAGTTGTGACTTTCGTAGTTCTTCACTTCTCTCTCCGATTGCAACCAACAAATGAAGCAAATGGAGCTCCGTCTCCTCTTTTTTCTCTTCATTATCTTCTTCTTCCTACTGACGTCCACGCATCCCCAACCCCCTGATGCCACTACAACAAAAAGCAGTTTTGGCGACCAAAAATGTAAATTTCGTCGCTGAAAGTAGGACAATTGGCGACTAAAATTGAATTAGGCGACTAAAACAGTTTAGTAGCCAAATGTGTACTTATTGGCGACTAAAAATCAGATTAGTCGCTGATTACATGGGTTTTAGCGACTAAAACAATTTTAGTAGCCAAAGGTGAAGGTTTTTGGCGACTAAAAAAGATTAGTAGCCAAAAGTATAGGCTTTGGCGACTAAAAAATGGTTTGGTCGCCGATTGTAGGTGTTTTACCGACAAAACAAAAATGTTGTAGCCAAATGTAAAGGTTTTTGGCTACTAAAAAATTTTAGTAGCTAAAAGTGGACAATTGGCGACTAAAATTGAGTTTAGTCGGCAAAAGTGGTGGTTTTGGCGACTAAAAATCAGTTTAGTCGTCGAAAGTGGTTATTTTTAGACGAAAATTAATTTTTTTAGCGACTAAATTATTGGTAGTAGCCAAAACTAAGGTTTTTGGCGACAAAAAAAAACTTTAGTCGCCAAAAGTGGCTCCCTTTTTTTTTAATAATTAATTTATTTTTTACATAAATTAATATTGAATAAAAATAATTATATTTATATATATAGTTTTAAATTAATACGGGTCAATATACTATATAAATAATATATATTGCATATATATTCATGTGATCTTATGGTGGCATAGTGGAGGGAGTGTGTTAGTAAAGGTCTACAAAGTAGAAGGTTCGTGGTTCGAATCTTAGAAAAAGCAAAAAAGTTGGTAATTTTTTTTTTCACGGAAGCACCTAAAGGATTAGTCGGCGATTCAGTAAGTATTGGCGACTAAAAAAGTTTTAGTCGCCAATACCTCTGCCAACCATCTATACGCGACAAAACCAGCGACTAAAAAAATTAGTCGGGGAAAGTAAAAAGTCGACTTTTGACGACTAAAAACAGACTTTTGGCGACTAAAAATTTAGTCGCCAAAGGTGCTTTTTCTTGTAGTATGCCACAGGGCCAAACCACCCTCTTTACTACCACTTATCGCCGAAAACTCTGAAGAATGAGATCGGTAAGGACTACAAATCTCATGATTTTAGCTTGATTTTAACCTTAGTCCTTTTTCTGATCTGGAATCTTCCTAAATCTATTTGTGATGTTTTAATTAGTTTGCTGATTAAGTTGTATGATGGTGTTTGAATTTGGATTGGTAATTTGCAAGGTTAAGAATTGGTTTGAGTTTTTTTTAATTAAATTTTTAAAAAATTGAATTTTTTGATTTTCGTGTTTTTTTATTTTCATTTTTAGAGAATATTTTTAAAATTTTAAATATTTTTTTTTATTTTTTTAGATGTACCTTACTTAAATGTATCTAAAAAATAAAAAAAATTATAAAAAAAATATTTTAAAAAATTAATAAATACATAAAAATATAAAAAATGTATTGACTTTTTTTTATTTTTTTATTTTTGATATTTAGTGAATTTTTAAAAGGTTTTTTTCATAATTTTTTTAAAGTATATTTATGTGAAGTATGTCTAAAAAGTAAAAAAAAAAAATATGCTTAAAATATTAAAAGAATTTAGCAAAAACAAAAAAATACGAAAAATAAGAAAGTACAATTTTCTGAAAAGTATTTTTGGAAAAGATGAACCAAGCAAAGTGAATAGTTTTTTGGGTTAAAATAGTCAATAAAGATAAAATATGCTAAAATAATTAATAAGATAAAATATCACATCTAACTCGTGACATTGGCTCACCGTTTACCTCTGAGAAATCAAACATACCAAATATTAAGTATAACAATAGAAAGGTCTTGTTTGGTAAAGGTTAAAATTTAGCTTTTCAGACTATAAAAAAGACAAAATATGTTAAAATAATCAATAAGATAAAATATCACATCCAACTCATACTCATTTCGTTTTTTCTTTCACAACCATCAAATCAACAACTAAAAAAATAAAAAAACTATCATCTCAAACGTAACTTTTTTAGCTAGATTAAAATAGCCAAAAAATAAATATATATATATATATAAAAAAAAAAACTAACTAAAGTAGCTAACTTCCCAAATGAGGCCTATGGTGAAGCCTGTCAAGCAGTGCACTTCTCTTTCTTCCATTTGTAAATGGCTGTTTTCAGCCTAAGGTCCTTCTTCTTCTTCTTCTTCTTCTTCTTCTTATTTTTTATTTTTATTTATTTATTTATTTATTTTTGAGGGAGGAGAAGGAGAGGAGGCTGTGGTGGGTGACCGGAGGAGGGTGGAGAATGAGGTGGCCGTCGTCAACGAAGGTGGGGTAATGTTGGAAGATTGGTTACTGTTGAAACCATTAGTATTAAACTGTTTGCTTTATTTTTCTTTTCTTTTTTTGGGGAGGAGGGGTGTGACGCCCCGATTCTACACTATTGATTGCAGTCAAGGGAGAGTCACTAATGAGTCCTATGGTCAATAACCAAGTAAGATCCCAGATCGCCGGAGGAGTCAAATTAGCCTCCCTTCTAAGTCCAGTTTTCTTAGGTAGCGCACTGCCCTTTTGACAGATCTTAAAAAGTATTGACACAATGTCTCATAAGTAACGATAAGGTTCATACATAGAATATAATTACATAACAACCATAAATATACTTAATCCAAAAGATGGTTCCATTACATTACATCCCAAAAGAAAGTTTTAAATCTTCACATGGGTCTTACAAATATCCAAAACGAAACTTCTAATTTTTCTAGGATAGCCAAAAGTCTTCGAAGGTTTCAGGCTCGTTGTCTCCAGCTATGAGTTCCTCTTCGTCACCTGGCATGATACGCCGTGAGCTTTGAATGCCCAGTAAACACACACACCCCGTCCTTTTTTCCCAATCCAATACACAAACACCAATATAACATCAAGTAGTAAAGCATGATACTCAAATAAATAAATAAAGGGTGAAGTTAGATGTCAGTAAACTAGAAATCTCCCAAAGAGATTTCGTCCTCTCAACCACAAGAATCGGACGCGGATTATTCGGTATACCCCCTCTTTTGCGGGTTTGTTGCAGAACTAACCTCGGATGCCTACCAACGGTTATATACCGCGTAGCGCCAACCGCAGGGCCTCAAAAGAGACGGTAAAATAGGGCCTTGCCCAAATCCCTCCTCACACCAAACCACCTAGGGTTCGAATACAACCGCTCCGTTCAAGGGTTCCGAAAACCACTTGCGCAAGACTTTAACTTTCAAATAGGGAACGCATCCCAACAATCCATATATCACATATTCTCATCTTTTCATTACTTAAGTGCTCGAAAACCCAATACCCTCCCTATTAGGTTTCCCATTGAATTAAATGTTTTAAATCAAGGTTAGTCCAACTTATAAAATAATAATATCCATATAAGCATGCATTCTTAAGATGAGAAAGGTAAATAACATAACCACAACACATATAATATCATGCCAAGATAAGATCATAAACTAATAAGCAATCTCATGAACTCAAGGGTATAAAACATCCACACATAACAAAATTTTCAGATTTAGTATCGCATAAAGATTAAAATGAAAAGTCTATTTTAGATCCTTCACCGGACTTGGCCTTCCTATGGTTCGTAGGGAATTTGATCTAGTTTCTAGAACATTTTTCAGAAACGGGATTGCTTTTCCAGATTCTAAGTTATTCGGAAAATATTTCAGCGCTGTCCAGATTCTGTCCAGATCCGCCGACCGTTACGAAAATTTGATTTTCTTGCAAACCGCTTAATGTTTTTCGAGGAAACCAATTTTAGTTGAAAGCTAACTCCTCAATGAAGATTTTGACATGAAATAGAGGTCCAGAATAATTTTACACATTTTTCTAGAATTTCTGGAAGTGGGCTGCAAAAACAGATTCTAAGGTACCATGCCCAAAAGAAGAAGTTTTATGAGATAAGGGTTCCACCAAGGGAAAGTTTTCATTTATTTTGTGGAGAAAACATGCTAACTAACATATATTTAACTCAGAAAATTTGCTTGAAAGAGTGCCCTTGGAAAGTTGAGAGATTGGCATAAAAATGGATGGTTTTGTGTCAAAATGGGAAAAATACAAGAGAGATGGAATCAATACTCAACCCTTAGCATTTTTAACATAAGAACTCATTAATAACAGATCTGAAAACATTATTTAGAATCCTTAGAAACATGTATTGAAAAAAGGAAAATGAAAGAGAAGGTTGCGTTTGTGGCTTACTTGCTACTTTGCACAAGAAGGCTCTCTTCTTCCTCCTTCGTCTCCTCTAGACTTCTCTCTCTAGCCGAATGTGTGTGTGTGGGTGTGGTGTTTGTGTTTTGCCAAGCTAGGGGAGGTTGGTATATATAGGCAATTTTGATGTAAAATGTCCTAAAAGCCCATTAGTTGGAAATGGATGGAAAGTTTAGGATTTGTTTGAAGTCTAATGGGATAGGAGTAACTAAGGTGCTAAATCATAGGATTAGGCATTATTTAGTTGATTTTTAGTTGAAAGATAACTAGTATAGGGAACATCATCCTAGGTTTAGGGTACTAGGTTTTGGTTTTCCTAGAATATCTTTTTTCTAGAATTTCATGATGATATATTTTGAAAATAGTCTCCTCACTTTCTCCTAGAAGGCCCGGCCATAGGGAAGGGTGGAAGGGCCATTTTTTTTTATTAATTTTGGTCTTAGGGCACACTCCTCAAGGTGTATATATATATTTTACATGATTGATGGCATTTCAAGGTACAAGGTACAAGTACTAGTTTTTGGGTAAGTTTTGAATTTAAGTAAAGAGTGAGGGCTTGGAGTTAAATACATGTAACTTCTGTAGAATTAAATTAGGTCAGGGAACCTAATTCGGCTAGGGTAATTCCTGTTTTGATAAAAATAAAAAATAGTAATGCTAACCGACAAGGTTCGAATTAATTTAAGTAACCGAGGGACTTTAAGAAAATAATTCAAAAATTAAGGTTTCTAAAGTGAATACATATTTCAGGTGCTTCACAAGGGGGGGGGGAAGGGATTAGCAAAGTACAAAACGACGTCGTTTTGAGCACTGCTCCATCACCCTAGAGTGAATTTCTCAAGAGAATCCAAACACGTGTTTGGGATGTAAGTTTGGGGCAAAAATAATGAATAAAGATATAAAAAAAAATTTAAATAGCTAATAAGACAAAATCCAAACTATAATTATTTTTATTTTTTCTCACATAATTATCAAATCAACTACTAAAAAAAAAATTATCATCCCAAACACAACTTTTTAATCAAACTAAAATAGCTAAAAAATCAACTAAAATAGCCGAGTTTCCAAACAAGCCCTATTTATGTCCTCTCTATAGTAAGGGTGGACAAACCCCAATTCGGACTTGCACTGCATAGTAAGAGAATATGAGTTATCTCAATTTTGGCTCGGCTCAACATCAGGCCTAATCTAATCATTCCAAATCTGCCCCTAAAAAAAGATTTAAATCCAAGCCAACTCACTTATGAACCTTTTTTTTTTTTGTAACTTATTAAAATTATTATATTTACTATTTGAATTTGAAATATTAACCAAATTTAATGGTAGAATAAATATAATTTTTAACAAATATTTAATTTGAACCTTAGAAAGAAATATATATACTGTTTTTGTCTTATATATTTTTTCTACTTTATTTTATAACTAAAATAATATAAAATTATAATCAATATATTACAAATGGGAGGGTTGGACTGATTTGGGTTAGTAATATTCATCCAAGCCCAACTTGAATATTAAATAAGCAAAAATCTGAACCCAGTCTGATCCTTTGGGTAAAATATTTTTTTCTAAATCCTAAAAATATCAGACTTAGATATGCAAGATGGGCACAGGCCAATGGCCACCCCTACTATACATTATGTATTTTGTATAAAAGAAACTATTAATCAAAATATATTTTAAAAATTAAAAAAAAATTCTCTTTAAAAAAAATAAAAATGATGACATTGTGCCCAAACAGTTGGCTTTTGTACCATTAATCATGTCTTTTTGCACCCTCCTCCAATGAGTTGTCAAGTTCAATCAGATGGATATGGTTGTCTCCGGCAATCCAAACTATAAAAAAATTTAAAAATATTGAGGCTTCAATTAAATTTGAGGGTAGCTATTTATCCCTATTTTTATTTTTATTATTATTATTATTTTTTTGAATCCCTACCTCTTTTATTTTATTTTTATTCTAATTTTGTCTAAACATAATTTTTCATTTTTATCCACATCCCTAATCTTTAAACCCTAATTTTCCAAATCCTAACTTTAACTCTAATCCCATTCACATTACCTCCGACAGTTACCACCATCTTCGATCGTCACCATCCTCCTTTCACCACCACCTGTAGCTAGTCCCCCCCTCTTCTTTTTCTCGTTTTTTTTCAAAGCCGCCTCTCCATTGCTTCCCTTCAAACCATAACCCCACAACCCACCATCACTAGGAGAGAGAGAGAGAGAGAGAGAGAGAGAAGGTTTGTCGCCGTTTCAGATCACGACGGAGCTTCTATATTGCGATTTCGGTTCGTGAGTACTGGATTGCGATTTCGGTTCGTGAGCACTGGATTGCAATTTCGGTTCATGACCCTCTGATCCAACTGGGCCTTGGTGCAAATCGAGTTCACAACGAGACAACCCATCATCTGGTTCCCCTTAGGCCATGTTTTTTTGGGTGAACATGAGTTTGGGATTGGATTAGTAGTCCAATGAAATTATTAATCCGATGTTTGGTTAAACAATTGAAGTACGGACTAATAATCCATCCGGATATGGTATCTCACATATGATGGACTATTCAATCCCACAGAGGGGGGTGTGATATAAATTGGAGGACTAAGCTAAAGTCTGGACTGTTAATTCCTCCTTATAATCCTAACTCAATCCAAACATAGGATATGATACACAACCCAAAAGTATTCGCGGTCCTAGGATTATTAGTCATGAGAATACTAATTCAACCTAATTTAGTCCGCTCAAATGAACATGGCCTTTGAAATGGGGAGTTGTGGGGTTTGAAGATGAAGATGATGATAGAGGAGTAAAAGCAGGTGTTGCCATGGGATTTGAAGATGAAGATGATGTGGGGTTTGAAGATGAAGATGACAACATAGCCTGCTGGTCATGGGCTTTGTCACCATCACTCTCGCTCTTTCGACTCGCCTTTTCCTGATTCATCGCTGTCGCAATCTCTGGCGCATTGTCGTTGTCGTCGTGGATCGATTGAGGCAATCACTGGTTCAAATTCGACGAGTCCAAATTGGTGTTGGTCTGCAGGTGTTGGTCTTCACATGGTGGCAGTGAATGAATGATGATGATGTTGTTGTTGGTCGTCAGAGATGGGGATGCTGGAGAAGGGTGTGGCCGGAGCTGGCAGTAATTGGGTTGGGAGGGTGGGTGAGGGAGAAGCTAAAGTTGAGATTAAGGTAGGATTTTAAAGAAAAAAATGAAAGATTGGTGGTGTAAAGAAATAAGGGGCGCCAAAGTAAAAAGCTAAGGGTAAATAATAGCCCTCTTAAATTTTTACTTTGAGCCTCAAATAGCCACCGCAGAAATCTATGGTTAGAGTTGGCTGATTTTGTATGCTAGGCCACCCAGACGGCCATTAGTGACTGCGCTTCGAGTGCTTGAATAAAAATACTATGAGCCAATCGAGAATGAATTCAAAGCCTACCCACAAAGTTATTAAACTCTGCAAAATTAGTTGAAATATGTGTATTTTGTTTGAATTTTTTGGATTAAGTTTTTTGAAAATTAAGTTGTTTTGTTTTTTGTGTTTTTTTGTTTTTAGTAAATATTTTTAAAATTTTAGGCTTTTTTGTTTTTATTTTTTTAGATGCACCTTATACTTAGATTTATCTAAAAAGTAAAAAAATTGTGAAAAAATATTTTAAAAAATTAATAAATACATTAAAATACGAAAAATATATTGAATTATCGTATTTTTTGTATTTGTTGTATTTAGTAAATTTTTAAAAGATTTTTTTCATAAAAATTATACTTTTTGTTTGTAATTATCTTAGGTGTCTAAAAATTTTTAAAAAAAAATTGTTTAAAATATTAAAACAATTCAATAAAAAAATGAAAAATATGAAAATAAAATTTTTTGAAAAGTGTTTCTGAATAATCAAAAACAAGCAAGCTAATACTATCCAATAAGCACTATTCCATAATTAACAAGCACGGCATACAATAGTAAGCATTTTTATTTACATGAAAAGTTTGGCGGATGAGACAAGGCATAGCATAAAAAAAGACTGAGAATACAATACAAATACATTAATTAAAAAGCAGCAGTAGCTTTCTTTCAATTCTTAGGGAATAAGGTTGAGTCATTCATTCTAGAGAGTGCCTTCTCAAACTGGTTCCATCTCTGCTCCACAGTCCCGCTATACCCTATTGACATCCTAACCAAACCAGGCGAAATCCCCGCCATCGCCTTCTCTTGGGCATTCATTTCGCTGCTTGTGCTGCTACCCGAGCACGACATGAGTGTCTCATGATACCCCAAGCTCACAGCCATGAACCCAAACTGTGTTATGTTTTGCAAGTTGTTCATCAACCTGTTTGCCCTTTCCTCTGTTTCCATGTCCACGCATAGTAGTCCACCGTACCCGTACTCTTTGTTTGCCATTGATTTCAACAGATTGTGATCTGGGTGTTCCTCTAGCCCCGGGTAGATGACTTTGACACCCATTCTCTTCATTCTCTTTGAGTAAATCAAGGCCCTGTGGGAATGCTCTTTCATTCTCAAGCCCAGGTGAGGAATTCTTTCTGATAGTTCAAAGGCTACCTTGGCATTCATGGTTGGGCCTAGTAGCATTAGGGCCCCTTGATGCAGGTCCATCATTGAGTTCACAAGGCTTGCTGGCCCACATATAGCACCTGTCCATTATCATTTTTGTTGTTGTTATAGTTGTTATAGCCTACACTTTCTAACAATGGTAATACTACAATCCTCCGATTTTTTATTTAGAAATTTACCAAGGCTACGTTCGGTTTGAATTAAAATATTTTACTTATTTTTCGTTGTTTACTTGCACAAAAAGTTGGTAAAAATATTTTTTAAGAAAAATATTTTTGCAACATTTTCTAGAAATTGACTTACTTTTAAAATTTCGTAATTTTTTTTTATAAAATTGACTCACTCACTACCTTTTTAACACATTTAACCTTTTTAAATGAGTATTTTAACTCACTAAAAAGTCAAAAATGACATTTTATTAAATCAAAATTTCTCTTTTAGATATTAAAATATTTTTATTTTAAGTGTCAACCAAATGCCGAAAAACAAAAACATAATCATTTTGTGTAAAATATTTTACGTCGAAAGAAATAGAGCCTAATAAATATTGATTTTTCATACTTGTAATTACCGTTCTACCATTTGACCAAAAAAAAAAAAACTAAACATAGATGCTACAATAGACCATTGAAATCTCTACCCTTCATTTACATTCTGAGCCATTTTTTTGACATAGATTTTGGCCCCTTAATACTTTTTCCTCTACTAAAATGTCTAGTGCCATATAAATTCAAAAAGTAAAAATAAAATGAAATTTATGAATTTGACTGGAATTATTTAAGCTTTCAAAGGGAGGTTTGTGATTCGAGTTTACGGTAACTTAACATATTAATTCATTAATGTTTTATGTTCAATAAATAAATAAATGAAAATAAAATTATATCATTTTAAAAGAAAATATCGGCTAACAAAAATACACTCAGTTTAGTCTCTACTCGGAAAGGGTTTGGAACAGATGTATATACTTAACATTTGGTATTTCTTATATAAAGTGATGCTTCATCAATATGTTTTGAAATTACAAAAAATACGTGTCATCACCCCATGATTATGGTAATTTTATTTTATGGTTCTTACAAATGTTCTATAAAAATATCATTTTATTTCTAATTATATAATAATGGCTGTTTGGACATGATTCTAAGAATATGCGTATCTCATACATACAACTACTCTACTCTACTCTTTTATCACTTCCATCATCCATTATGTGATCTTATCACATTCCTACTTGCATAGATTTATCACGTGACTAAAACACCTTTAGTCTTTAGCTTTACTCTACCATTTCTCTCTATTATTTCCACAGCAGAGATTAATGGTTGCTCTGCTCACCAATCACCGCACTATAAGAGGAAGACATTATTACGATCAATTAAAATACTCTAATTTTTTATTTTTTATTAAAACCCAACAATGTTGTTGTTGTTGTTGTTTTTATTTATTTATTTTTTATTTTTAATATAAGGATAAATTACACTGACTTCTCTTGAGATTTGCAGAAAATGCAAATAATTCCACAGTTTTAATATAATTATGCTAACCTTCTTTTTAATAAAATAAATCAAAACTAATATAAATAGTATGAAAATACATGGATAAACAAGCGTAAATATATATTTTAGTGAAAAAGAAATGACCATATTATTATTTTGGGGGATGCACCAATAAATCCCAAATTAATAACTTATGCACTGTTTAGTCCTAAAAGTTTTGTTATAGACGGAAAGGTCCCATTACAATGTTAATAACATCAGATACAATGTTAATAACATTAGAGTCATGTTACAAACATTGGATTTCAAACATCTAATGTTGATCAAATTTCAATAATGTTTGAAAATATAGGATGAAAAATATCTAATGTTCATCAGATTTCAATAAATTTTGAAATTATAGAATGAAACATCAGATCATTTACATCATTCACATCAAGTTGATATAAAAATGGGACTAAATGGAGCATAAGAAAACTTTTAGGACTAAATGGTTCAACGTTTCAAAAACTAGGACTTATGGGTAAATTTTCCTATTATTTTTATTTATATAACTAACAAATATTAATGAAATGAAGTTATATATTATGTGATTTAAAATCTTAAAATAATTTAATGTAATTATTAATGAGGATAGAGAATATAAGATTTTGGAAAAAAAAAAAAAAAAATTTATCATCTTCATAAATTATCTTGCAGACCCAAATCCTAACACATATTGCCTCCGTTTGGGAAGGGGGTTGGCTTTTTGGTTTTTTGACTTTTTGGCTATTTTAGCCTGAGGCTAAAAAGTGAAACATCAGATCATTTACATCATTCACATCAAGTTGATATAAAAATGGGACTAAATGGAGCATAAGAAAACTTTTAGGACTAAATGGTTCAACGTTTCAAAAACTAGGACTTATGGGTAAATTTTCCTATTATTTTTATTTATATAACTAACAAATATTAATGAAATGAAGTTATATATTATGTGATTTAAAATCTTAAAATAATTTAATGTAATTATTAATGAGGATAGAGAATATAAGATTTTGGAAAAAAAAAAAAAAAAATTTATCATCTTCATAAATTATCTTGCAGACCCAAATCCTAACACATATTGCCTCCGTTTGGGAAGGGGGTTGGCTTTTTGGTTTTTTGACTTTTTGGCTATTTTAGCCTGAGGCTAAAAAGCCTAGTTTGGAAAGGACTTTTTGCCTTTTTAACTTTTTTTACTTTTTTTGTGAGAGAGGAGTGTAATGATTATGGGTTGGATTTGATATTTTACTTTTTGTGACTAAAATAGTCTATTTTATTTTTTGTGCCTATTTTAACCCCTAACCCACCAAAACTAACTCCCCAAACTATGCCATTGTTTACTTCTAGGGAAATACTATGAAAAGGTGTGTACCACCCACCTTTACAATTAAAAAAATAAAATAAAATAAAAATAAAAATTGACATAATTCTATAATTTCAGTCATATTTATGAGAAAAAAAAATTAAAATCAAACACAGCATGAATTATAATCAAAGGCTCTATTAATGGTATCAAAATTATTATTATTAATAAAAAAATTAATCATCACTAAGTTCTATTAATGATATGAAAATTATTGTTATTACTAAAAAAAAATTTAATCATTACTAAATAAGAAAATAACATTATTAAAGAGACATATCATTCACCCTTCTCAAAAAGTATATACAGTAGAATTTCCCTTTCTCTTCTCATTAGTTACATGTAATATTAATGATCATTTATCTCCCTTATGATTGGATGAGTACACCACTACAAAATAGAACGGATTGAGTAAGTATCTTTTAGAATTTTTTTTTTCAAAAATTTTTTAGAGTGGTGCATTGTGTGGTTAAGATTTAATGATAAGTTACATTAATTTTTTAATATTAAATTTTAATTACACAATACACCACTTTAAAAAAAATTTAAAAAAAAAACACTCTAAAAGATCCTTGGTGGAACGGGATTAGCCAAAGAACAGATAGTGTTTAGGTGTCAAAAAGGAAGGTGGTATGGTTGGCCAGTAACAAAGAGACATTTGTGGAGAAGCAAAGCCATGTAGTCATGGACTAACCCATCGTTAAATAAAAAAATTGTTATAACTCTCAAATTTTTTATCATATAAATGATCAAATGTCTTATATAAATATAAGATCGACAAAAATGTAAATCCCACCTGTGAGGTATTTTATCATTTATTTAGTAAAAAATTTAGTATTCCTAACATTACATATGATGTCTTGTACTTATCTGTATATATTATGAAAAATAAAATTTTTCATGCAAAGAACTTAATAAAACTTAAAATCATTATACTATTTTTTTTAAAAAAATTATTTTTTAAATAATTAAAAAAATTATTGGATAGTTTTTATTAAATTATTTTTTAAAAAATTTATTATACCTTCATCTATACATTTGAAAAAGAAAATTAATTAAAACATTTAAAAATTTAAATTTAACATTTTGAAAAAAAAAATTAATCAATTTTTAAATTTAAATTTTTTTATCACTACAATATAGAAATCAATTCACATTTTTCAAAGAAATTTTTTTTTTCTCGATGTTTAATAGTTTTATATGCATCGACACTCCAATCTAAATCTATAATATATATTATAGCAAAGTGATTTTTCATCTTAGGGGCACTATGTGCTTCAAAACCTTAAATCTAATTTTTTGAATTTTTGATTTTTATAAAAAAAAAAATAGAAATAAAACATCTTTTGCTATTCCAAAGACATAATTATTAACATTCAAAATTATTTAATGTAAATATATTGCGGGTCAACACTCAAAAAAAAAGAAAAAAAAAGCACACAATTCGCACCCCTCTCTCAAAATAAATCAAACCTGTTAAGAACATAAATTTCATACAATCCTCCCTCTTAAAATAAATCGAATGAATAAGAAAGTCTCTCACCTCTCATAAAATCTGTATTGTTAATGTCTTCTACAATTGGCATAATCTATACAAACCTAGTTAAGAGTAAAATCTATATTGTTAATGTCTTCATAAAATCTATATTTTAAGCGTAACATAAAATGAAAATTAAACCTTATATCTGGATTATCTCTCTATTTCATAATTAAACACGATTTTTTTTTCCCAAATAAATGCCATATATAATTTTTTTTTTAAAAATCTCATTATTTATTATTTTTTTATGATGATTCCATGATAAATGATCTATTTAGAAAGGGAAAGATGCCAAAAAAAAAATATATATATATATTATGCACCCTTTCTCTAACTAATTATTTCTCCTACTTAAAGACCGTAACCATCATATATTACACTTTCTCGATGCACATTTATGCAACAATAAAACACAATTTAAATGTTAATTTATATTTAATAATAAGATTTTACTATACCAATTGAAACCACCACTTAATAATAATAGGAATATAGATAGAGAGAGTAGATAAATATCAAAAATAATATTATAGTATTACCATCGCATTAACTCAAATGAAAAAGATGTGTAAAAATTGAGGACAATCAAGTATCAAAGGTACGTTTGGACAAATCAGGATCCTCGCCTTATCCTTTGTCTTTGGTTTCCTACTCATTAGGTTATTGGGTCTGTTTTTAAACACAATTTTGATGGTTCAAATGATTTATATTTTAAAATTTATTATGTATATTATATTTATAAAAAATTAAATTGATCGAATATTAGAAATTATGTATTTGTATCATCGAATTAAAAATTATTTTTTAAAAAAATTTAATAAATAGCTTTCTGAATACATATTTTTTGATATCCGATCAATTTAATTTTTTTATAAGTATAATAATCTCAATAAATTTTAAAATATAAATAATTAAAATTATCAAAATTTAGCTTAAAAAATAGATCCAATGATCCAATAAGTAGAGAGGTTAAGAAGAGGATGTGATTCGTTTGGACAGGTATGCACCTAGATGTCACAACACGTGTACGGCGAATAAACGTCGAGACAAACGTACCTGCAATGATGTCGGCCCCACCACTAATGAACTTAGAGATGCTGTGAACGACGACATCGGCACCGAGTCGAGCCGGAGACAGAACCATCGGAGAGAAGGTATTATCCACAACTACCATAACCCCCTTATCGTGCGCTATCCTACACAGCTCCGGCACGTTAGCCACAGTCAGCGTAGGATTAGACATGGCCTCGAAGTACAACACCTTGGTCTTTCCTTGAACGATGGCTTCCTTAACCATTTCCAAGTCCCTCAGGTCCACAAACGTCGTCGTTATGTTGCAAGCGCGTGGGAGGAAATGGGTGAGAAGTGCGTGGGTCCCACCGTACAGTGTCCGAGAAGCCACCACGTGTCCGCCGCTACTGCAGAGTTGCAACAGCACCGACGATACGGCGGACATGCCGCTGGAGGTGCAGTAGGCGGCTTCGGTGCCCTCCAGAGCCGCCATCTGGCGTGCAAGGTTGAGAACCGTCGGATTGAAGTGGCGGCTGTAGATGAAGAAGTCGCGATCTGGACCGAGTTCGCCGGAGAACATACGCCGCATGGTCTCCGGCTCCATCACGGTGAATGTGGCTGAGGCTTCGATCGACATGTTAACGCCGCCGTGCTCTCCGAACTCGTGGCGCGCATTGGCTAGAGCCGTTTCTGGGTCTTCCCACGACGATGGTGGCATCGTTACGATTGCCTTTTTCGACACCACCATGTAATCGTCGCGGTCGACATCGTCCGAGCCAGCTCGCTTCTTTCCCGAGAAAGCGTTACGGGCACCTGTTTCGGCCATTGTTGTGGGGAGAGAGAAAGAGCCAGGGAGGTTTTGGAGAAGGAAAGAGAGGTTGAGGGCGGCGGGGGTTGGGGAGAGAGAGAGAGAGAGAGAGAGAGAGGGTGGTGAGGGTGGATTTGGGTTAGAGGGGTTGTCTATGTATAGCAATCGAGGCAAGAAGGCAATCCTCGTAAATAAGTTATTTTAATAATTTTTAATTTTTTTTTTAAATACGTAAAAGAATAAAAAATAAAAAAAAATCACCTTCTTTGTTTCCATTTTACAAAAAATACTTTTCAGAAAATTTAAGTTTTTTATTTTTTGTGTTTTTTTTTTGTTTTTACTGAATTTTTTAAATATTTTAAATAATTTTTTTACTTTTTAGACACACTTAACATAAATAAACTTAAAAAATAAAAAAAATTATAAAAAAATCTTTTAAAAATTCACTAAATACCAAAAATATAAAAAAATACAAGACTTCAGTACATTTTTTATATTTTTATGTATTTATTAATTTTTTAAAATATTTTTTCACAATTTTTTTACTTTTTAGATACATTTAAGTAAGGTACATCCAAAAAAATAAAAAAAAATGTTTAAAATTTAAAAAATATTCACTAAAAACAAAAAAACACAAAAACCAAACAAATTAATTTAAAAAAAACTAAATCCAAAAAACTCAAACTAAGCACACCAAATAATGTGATAATTTATAAAACGAGGCGTATGACCCATTTTGGCAGCAAAGAAAAATATAAATTGTGTTTGATTGAGGTTTAAAATTATGATTTGAGAATATACTTGTATTTTGAGTTTGTGAGTTTTAAAATTATAATTTGAAAAGAAAAAAAAATTGTTTTATTATGAGTTTTGAAAATATTTTTTAATTGAATTTTAAATTGAGTTTTGAATTTTTGATGTGACATATAAATTGAGAAAATTTATTTAGTTATGAGTTTTGAAAAGAATTTTTAGAAATTAAATCAAAAGATTATAACTCATAACCAACTGCACAACTCAAAACTCTATTGCAAATTATATTCAAAACTTATAACCAAACTTTGTTTAACATTCAATTCGAAAAAATAAGTTGTCATTTTGGTGTTAAAAAAATAAATTATATATTTAAAAAGTATCAAAAATAAATATATATATATATATATTTTTTTCAAACAACAAGAGGCCATTGGCAATTGCAAAAAAAAAAAAAAAAAGAAAACGTTACACTGTTCCAGTCAACCGGCCGAACGTCCGGGGGACATCCGGTAGGATGATTAGGTAGACACAAAATTTAAAAACGCCCTTACTTTTTAAAATGGAGAAGACGAAAGAGAGAGATATGCAAAACGTGAAAAAAAAAAATGTTTTGAAATGCGTAGTGAAATCACATTTTCAAAACTCTATCTAAACGAAGGGTGCAAAATGGTGTGGTGAAATTATGATTTGAGAGTTTTACCAAACACAGCCATAACTTCTTTTATTGATTTTTTTTTTTAATGATTTGTTTTTTGAATTAGGGTAAATTACAAACACACCCCCTACGGTTTATTTAAATTACAAATTATTTTCTGTGATTCTAGAAATTACATTATGCCTTCTAAGATTTTTAATTACATAACAAATAGGTCTTTTTATTAATAAATCATCAAGTTAATTAATATTTTTTAATAATGTTAAAATTTTATTTCAATAATAATTCAAATAATTTTATTATTGTATATGTGAATAGTTAGAAATTTTAATTTTTCAATTAATTCTGTTAAATAAAAAATTATGACAATGAAATATTTATAATTTTTCAAACCACAGGGGCAATTCGTATTTTAAGTAAACCTGAAGAAGTGTATTTATAATTTACCATTTAAATTATGTTAAAATTTTTATTTTTTTCAATCCGTCATATCGAGACCAATTAAAAAAGTATATATATTTATTTGAAGATTTTTAAAAAAATATTAAAGACGAAAATAAATATAAAAAAATAAAACTTATTTTAACTTATTTTTATTTTTTCTGAATTTTTTAAAATGTTTTTAAAAAATTATAATTTCCGGATTCGTGACTGAATCTAAAAATGTAAAGCTTTTAGAAATTTTTTACAAAACATTCATCATAAACAAAAATAAGTCACAAAATAAATAAATAAATAAATAAATAAATATACTTCCTAAAACATCCCTCAGTGGCTGCAATGGTGGGTGATTTTTTAACATGGGATGGTAATCAATTTACATTCAATGGATGACTCAAAATCCGAATTTGATCATTATACGTTCGGATATGTCGGTCTGTCACAGTCTTGTTGAGTTAAGTTAAATAAGAAAAATGATATATAGAAGTTTAATTTTTTGGTTCATTTTTTAGAATCAGTAATATATTAAAAAGATTATTAATTAATGATTATAGAATATTTAATTATTAATTAATTATCTTTTTAACATATCATTGGATTTAGAAACTGGATCTAATTTTTTTTAGCCTAAATAGCAATACTCTTTAAATAATTTATTTTATAAGATTTTTCGTATATATTAACTTTGAAAAAATTAAGTTATAATTATATTTTCATTTTATCTCATTTATCTTTAAAAAAATGTAATATTTTAATTTGAATAGTGCTAGAGATCCACAATTTGATTCTTAAATTTACTCACAACGATGTGACAAGAGAGATAACTTTACACAATTGAGTATGTAACAAATTAAAAATTAATATATATCATCTCACATTGTAAAACAAATTATAATTTTTTTTTTTTTGAGTTTTAAACATTTTCTTTTAATCTATAAAACATGCTTATTTTTTGAAAAATAAAAATACTACTATTATGAATTAGCTTAATTTTTTCTTTGACAAAATGTTGCAAAAATAAACAATTTTAAAGTAAAATATAACGAATCCTACATGGTCAAGTCTAACCCACATTTATCGTTGGTCTTATGTTTAACAAATAATGAGACGGTTATAAATTTTCAAATTTGATAATTCTACCAAAATGAGTTGGTACAGTGAACCTGGTCATAATCTTGCCATCTTTATTTTTGGAACCATATCAGATTTTTCACTTTAATAGTTGTTTGGAAAACTGCTAAATAGGCAATTTATTAACTTATTTATTATAAATTATCAGGTCACTTATTTACTTTTCAGCATATTTTTTTTATAAAAAACGTAAATTGCAAATATACTTTCTAAAATTTACTTAAAATACGAATTACTTCCTGTAGTTTGAAAAATTACAAATATTTTTTTGTCAGAATTTTTTATTTAACAAAATTAATTTAAAAAAATAAAATTTCTAACTGTTTACCTATACAATAATAAAATTATCTAAATTATTAATTGAAATAAAATTATAACATTATTAAAAATTGTTAATTAATTTGATGATTTATTAATAAAAGAACTTCTTTGTTATGAAATTAAGAAGTTTATAGGACATGATTTAATTTCTAAAATTACAAGAAATAATTTATAATTTAAATAAATCTCAAATAATGTATTTGTAGTTCACACTTCTAAAAAATAAAAAATGTCACTACATAACTAACACTAACTTTTTGAATTCCCAAATGTCATGCTGGGTTTTGGTACAGGTTCATTACAACGGTAATATTATGTTATAACTAATTTATTTTAGAAAAAATATTGGGTTCGTTTGGTTTGAATTTCCCAAAAATTTTTGGGAAAATTTCTCTACAAATGAGTTTTCAGAAAAACTCAAACCAAACAAATTTTCTCAAAATTTTTTTCCAAAACTTGTAAACCAAACAAGTTTTCCAAACAAATCTCTCTCTCATACACATCAAATCAATCACTTTTTTCAAAACTCTCTCTCAAAATAATTTTTCAAAACATCTTTCCAAAAAAATCAAACCAAACAACTTTTCGTACTTTTTATCTCCCAAACTCATCTCCCAAAATCAAACCAAACAAGCCCTTTACTTTTTAGATACATAAAGTAAGGTGTATATAAAAAAATAAAAATAAAAAATGTTTAAAATTTAAAAAATATTCACTAAAAACAAAAAAATATGAAAACCAAATAGTCAATTTTTAAAAAACTTAATCTAGAAAACTCAAACCAAACACACTGAATAATATTCACAGAAATAGGGGGGCAATGAGTCCCCATAGTCTTCTCCTAGTTCCATCCCTATTCCTCTTGATAAACCAATTTGTGCGAACAGTTTCTTTTTATGTTCTAGTAAATGGCCAACAGTCTCATTTTTTCCAACCCAAAGCTAGATTGCGGCAATGTGACCCTCTATCCCCATATTTATTTATTCTGGTCATGCAATTTGCTCATCTAGGTGATAATGCTATATGTCGAGGACTTTCAATCAGTCGAAATTCACCTCCAGTGTCATCTTCTTTTTGCTGATGACATATTTATTTTTATGAATTTTTGCCCTGACGAAGTTTGGTGTCTCCATTGGTTCTTAAACTCCTTTTGTGAGCAGTTAGGGTTGAGAATAAACTATCACAAGTTTGAATTGTTTGTTAGTCCTATTACTTCTCCCCAATTACATTTGTTGGACCATATTTTTCAGATCCGTTGTGTAAGTAAACCTGGGGTGCACTTGGGGACAACATTAGACTTTACTTGTTCTAAAAAGGTTGAGGTATTCCTTGCTTTGATTGAGAAAATTCAAAGTAAATTCTAGAGTTAGAAGTGCAAATTAGTTAATAAGGCTGGTCGTAGTACTTTGGTTAGACATGTCTTACAAACCATTCCCATCTACTCGTTTTCTGTTTTTCAAGATTCCTCGTTATGTATTAGACAAACTATCTTCCATCATTCAGAAGTTTTTTGGGAAATCTTCCAAGGGTAGAGGGTTTTGCTGGAAAAGCTGGGATCAGCTTTGTTTGCCACTCGCTTGGGGAGGTCTGGGTTTTAGGGACTTGGGCTGCCTTAACCAAGCCATGCTTGCTAAACAAGCTTGGAGATTATTGTCTCATCCGGAATCTCTTCTTTCTATGGTTCTTCTAGGCAAATATTGTAGCAAGGTAGGGTTTGGAAAAGTGAATCCGAGTTCAAATGCTTCTTGGGGATAGCGAAGTATTCTTTGGGATAGAGATTTACTTTTTTCTGGTCTTAAATGGGTGGTTGGGAATGGGGAAAAAAGTAAAATGTTTGAGG